TTCTCCAACTTGCCGGGGAAAACGAACTTAGCTTACCACCAAATAAATACGGGGGATTCGAGGCCTGTGGCACTGCCACCTTATAGAGTAACAGGCCCAAATGCCACATATGTACAAAGGGAGGTCGAAGAAATGTTAAGTCTGGGACTCATTGTACCTTCTGTAAGTCCCTGGGCCTCACCGGTAACAGATGTATATCCCATGCCCCGGGTTGATGAATTAGTAGAAACCATTGGGGCTGCCAACTATATTTCCACACTAGACCTAACCAAAGGTTATTGGCAAGTAGCAATGGACCCCAAAGACCAACAAAAAACTGCATTTGTAACAAAGGAGGGTCTTTTTGAGTTCACTGTGCTTGCGTTTGGGTTAAGGAACGCACCCGCCACTTTCCAGAGGTTGATAGACAGAATGTTGGCTGGTCTGAAAGAATTTGCTTTAGCATACATTGATGATATTGCCATTTACAGCAATGGACCCCAAAGACCAACAAAAAACTGCATTTGTAACAAAAGAGGGTCTTTTTGAATTCACTGTACTTGCATTTGGGTTAAGGAACGCACCCGCCACTTTCCAGAGGTTGATAGACAGAATGTTGGCTGGTCTGAAAGAATTTGCTTTAGCATACATTGATGATATTGCCATTTACAGCAACACCTGGAAAGAACACTTACAACACCTAGCTATTGTTTTCCAGCGGATCAGGGATGCAGGTCTCACCATCAAAGCTGCCAAGTGTCAACTGGCCATGCCAGAGGTGAAGTATTTGGGGCATGTGTTGGGTGGAGGAAAGATCAAGGCAGACTGGGGAAAGGTTCAAGCTATCCAACAGTGGCCCAGACCCCAAAATAAAAAGCAAGTAAGAGCATTTCTTGGGGTCATAGGATACTACCGGAGATTTATCCCCGAATTTAGCACCATTGCTGCACCTTTATGTGAGTGCACAAAGAAGAAACACCCTGATGTAGTGATATGGTCTGAAGCATGCCAAACGGCATTTGAACACCTAAAAGCGGTTCTTACAACTGAGCCAGTATTGCGCCCTCCTGACTTTAGTAAAGAGTTCACATTATTCACTGACGCCTCTAACATCGGCCTAGGTGCAATGTTGAGTCAGAAAGGAGAGGAGGGACACCCTCATCCCATCCTTTATTTAAGCAGGAAACTCTTAGAGAGAGAACAACATCTCTCCGTGATTGAGAGGGAGTGTTTAGCCATCGTATGGGCCATAGGGAAATTGAAACCATATCTATGGGGGAGAAAGTTTGTCTTGTGTACCGACCACTCCCCACTGAAGTGGCTAAACCAGGTAAAAAGCACCAACAGTAAACTTATAAGGTGGAGTTTACAGCTCCAGGACTACAATTTTGACATACAGCATGTGCCTGGGAAGAAAAATGTGATTGCTGACGCGTTGTCCAGGACGGTATAAATGAAAAAGTAAAGTACATTGCTGAAACTTATAAGTGTCAAACGGTAATGAACATAAATAAGAAAATGAAAACAAAGTGAAGAGATGTTTTCTGAAAACCGTTTTGTATTTGATATGTATGCATTTATTTGTTAAGGTTTATGCACACGGAAAAACCTGGAATGTGTGTTTATTTCATGAAAGGATTTGATGTTATGTTGATGTTTAGAAATAATATGAGAAATAAGTAAGTGTACCTCCCATATGTCCATTGCTCAGCAAAAGGCTGAAACCTTTTGCGTTATGCAATGATTTTGGAGGGAGGGACATGTGACGGAATTGAAAAATCTGGGACCAGCAGAAAGTAAACACAGAACACTGCTGAGTCACATGACTGAGTGAGGAGGGGGCCATTTAGCTTGGAACCCTCAGTGATTGGCATGTACTGGACCAAACAGTCAGTTTGGGATGAGCAGTTGGAAAGAAGCAGTTAGTGGAGGGTTGTTGAGTGGAGTTAGCAGAGAGCAGTCAGAAAAACTGAGGAGCTCTGTGAAGGAGGCAAACCTCTGTAGCTCTGTGTGAACAGCCTAATAACAGTTGGAACAGATAACTGGGGCTGAATAGTCTGGATTACTGAGTCCCTCAATATAGGAAAGAGGACAGTGATCAGACTGGTGAAAGGTTAAACACATCAGTTGTCACAAACACCCAAATGCATTGCTCCTAAAGGAACTGGGAGAGGTGGTTAAGAGAGGGCAGAGGAACGGTCTGGCAGAGTCAGCACAACTGGTTGGTGGCCAGTTGGGCTCAAAAGGGAGCCAGACCTCGAAAGCCAAAGGTTAACCACAAAGCAGTACAGGAGCGTATGATTAGGAAGGTGTTTAGGGAATTGTTTAACATCTGTGGGATACTGGAAACAACAACTGCTGAAGTGTAAACCAAGCCAAAAGTTCAAGTCTGAAAAGAAACAAATTATCCTCTGTATATATCTTCCATCCCCCCCGTTGTGTTTTCTATAAATAAAGCCTGTTCTGTTTTGAAGTTAACAAGCCGTGGTGCCTAACTCTTTAATAAGTAAAACAAATCCCCCGAAGAGACTTTTGCAGATTTGAGTAGGGGACTGGTCAGGGAAAAAATAAAGTCTAACTCTGACTAGGTCCGGACACGCAGACCCTAACAGAACTGGCAGTATAAAGGGGGTTCGTGTCATAGTCACCTGGGAGATTATCTAGGGTTTTGTCAAGATCTTTGAAAAACATCTACAATATCCTACACCATAACCACACAGTCATTCAGATTTAATGCATCTAGCACACCAAATGATGATCTGGTATATAACTATTTGGTGCAGAGAGCTGGAAGGGAATGGAGTTATATGACAAGCCAAAGCATGCGTCAGTTCAAGTAAATTCAGAGAACTATTGCCCTTCCATTCCCTTCCAGTGTCTTTTGGCTCACAATACTCCACAGCTTAGAGGGAACCTTGCCCAGTCCACTATATTGATAGACCTGGCCTCTAAAGGACATGTCTACTGACCAGCAGCCCTGGTGTTAAATTCCTGTATTGCTCTTCGAAATGAATAAAGTTTAAGGAAATTACTGCAGGGAGTACCACATAGGGAATCACTCTGCATACGTGCCTTTGCATCAATCCTACATTTCTTAGAAGCATGCAGATAAGGTATGGAGGTTCTGATGAAGCAGCATCCTAATTACATTGTATCAAACACTGGATGATGTTTCAAGCATATTCTTCAAATCTCCTTTCAATTAATGTACAATTCAATTCATGTACTAGTTCCCAAGGTTTCAATTCTTAGAAGTTATCATTTTATAAGCAAAAACAATGCTTCTTTCTTTGCAAAATATCTGGAATACACTGTGCAAGGTGATATCATGGCACCAAGAAAAGAATACATTTCAAACACAGAAACGTGTTAGCAATACTACACTGCTAAAAAGAACTTCATTCACCCAACTCACAACTTACGTTAGAAGAAAAACTGTTCATCAGAGGCCTACCTCTAGGTAATGTTGTGATTTCAACATATCCCAGTGATGTCAGGTCATGGCACAGGTTACCAAGATGATATTCATCTGCTGTTGCAAAGGCTGTGCACTGCAGAAGATCCTGCGCCAAAGGAACAAAGGTTAGTTTGATAATGAAGTACATCCTAGTATTTTGCTAGTAGGTAGCTGAATAGTGTTATGTATTGCACTTCACAAATCCTACATACCACACACCCAAATCTTAACTTTGGTGCACAAACTGAAAACCTCTTACCAATATCAACAATGTCAGATTAGATCTGTAAAATATTACAAGAAACCTGTTTATTCTTCCCTGGGCTTGCCTGGGCTATCCAGGTCGGGGCTTTCCCTGTATTTCTTAAATAAAAACAAAGTCCATGTCTGGATGCCTCAAGAGCATTCCCAACTAAGATAGAAAGCATATCCCTTTATATAAATATATTTTGAAAAGCTTATGCACACCAAAGCTGCATTCTTATGCATAGGTAGCCAAGTGTAAACCTCACTGAAACTACTTGGACTTCTAAATTATTTCAAAATATTTACTTCCAATTAAATATGCTTCCTAATAAAAATTACTTTCAAATAAATATGCACAAGACTGAGCCATTAGTGGACATATTTATTTTTTCCTCAACTACAAATCAAGTACTTGAATAACTGGGCCTCAGCCTATTATTTCAGCCCAAATATTCCAAATGAAACTTAATGTTCTACTCCCATTGTTCTCTTTCCTCCCTGTCAAAGCAGAATACTCAAGTTCTAGAACAGAAGGAAGAATTTTTTTCTGCAACAGTCCCCAAAATATCATATGATAAAAAGTGGGGGGGGGGGGGCCTGACAATTTAGTAGCCGCTTGATTTGACTGTAGAGATTGGCATTCTCACATCCAGGGTGTAAAAATTAATATTTGATCTTGCAAATGGAGCCTGAATATTTCTACATCCAGCAGGTGGTGCCAGATATCAGAGAAAGGGACACAGACTTCAGTGCGATCTTTGTGCCATGTGGCGGCTTCAAGCTGCTTTGACTCTTTGCCCTGCATTTTAAAGATAGACCAGAAGAAACTACAGCACCAGAAACTGGTGTCTCCACCCAAAATTTTGTTTCAGATGCTTCTTAGGCATCCAGGGTATTTCAGCACACAGTTGTTTTGCTGTTACTTGCCTCACTACAATGCAGACATGTGCTGACTTTTTCAAGGGAATAAGAACCTAAGAACACATTTCACAAACTACTCTGTCTCTCTCACACACAAATACACATAGGGTGCGTTCAGACGGGGCATTTTAGCCGGCATAAACTGCTCCGGTTGGAACCGGAGCAGTTTGATCTGGAAGAAATGCGATCACACTTACCTCCTGATTGAGCAGCACATCGTGATATGCCCGTCCACACTTCAGGCGCTCAGTAGAGCGCGCCGGTGGGTTTTTTTTTTTACACAGTTTGCTCATGCGCATAGGCAGGCTTCCTTATAATGAAGATCTTTGTGCAGGCACAGAACAACGAACCCGGAAAGCATGCCTTGAAGCGAAGACGTCCCTTTAAATTTTTACTCTGAAACTAGCCTCCGTGAGGTTCTGAACTCGTCTAAAGCCTAAAACTAAGTATCTTTTTTTGTTTGTTTTACAAACGCTGGGGCGAAGCTTCGCCCAAGCGTACATCGAGGAGACTTAAAAAAAAATGGCGGCCAAAAAGCGGAAGCCTCGGGCTTCTGAACGGAAGTGGCTAGACACCGGCGGAGAACGATCAGATGGGGATAATGCGGTTGGAACCGGTGCACTCAGGATACCACCACTTGGGGACCTAGTGGCAGAATACAATGGTTTAAAGCTGTTTGCAACAGTTAGGGACAGAAGGCAGTGTGAACGCCTGTTAAGTACCCCAATTCCAACCAGCATCTATACCGGCATAAATGCCCTGTCTGAACGCACCCATACTGTAGTATAACCCGCACAGGAGGAGTAGTTGGCGGAACTGCAACATTAGTTACATTGAATTATTTGAAAATATTACCCTATGTAACAATTACAAGAACATTTCCAGTTACTTTTACATGGTATTTGTCAAAACTGTGCAAAATTGCACAAAACTACACACACAGATGAATAGCCAATAATTCACTAACTTCACATGCTAATATAGTTTGTAAAGTTACAGAACTCTAGTCAGGCTATAGACACAAAAATAATTCATTTGATGCTTAACAAGTGTTCAGAAAATTGGAACAAAGCTATCTGTCTAAAAATTTGGACCAACAGAACATAAATCCTAAAAATAAGTTTACAGAGTTTTACTAACTAGTTCTCGCATCTTCTATGACACTGAGGGTGGGAAAGTAGCCCCACATCATTATACTGAACTCAAACTGAAACAAAGGTCATGGAAAAGAGAATTCCTAGATCCTAGTTAATAAGTTTCTTTTGTACAGTAGAGTTTTCTGTGGATTTTTCTTAATTACAATTGAATAGCCATAAATTTTCACTGCTGTGCAATTATCTTTTAGCAACATTGAAGGGATTTCATTCTTAGTATTATCATTACTCATACAGTTCTTACAAAAAAACCCCAGGTTATATTCAATGTGAAAGGACGCTTAAAGTCACCTTTGAGCTTCTCTCTAGCATTTATTCATATTTTAGAGGGTTAAGATTTTTCTGCAATCTTGGGGAGGGTTTACCCAAGTTTGGAGAAAAATCTCTCTTTTCCTTATGTGAGCTCAATTAGCGTATATAAGTATCTGCAGATAGTGGGCACACTTGAGAATCAGATATATAAATACTAATATTACAAATCCAATTAAAGCAAGAGCTGCTTTTGGCTTGTTGTGTGAAACTGACCTCACAGTGCAATTTTCAAAAAGCCATCCAAAGAATTCCGTGAGCCCTGGTTACCACTACCTGAACAACACTTTTTCCACTGTAATGCACCTCAGCAACTTACACATTCATCTGTGGCACTGTGGTTATATCACAAATTCATGAGAACATGAGTATGGTTTTTCTGTGGCACTGTGGTTATATCACAAATTCAGGAAAATATGTGTATGGTTTTTCTAATGAGATCCTTGATTTTTGGAAAATCATTTCATGCTGTGATCCAGTGCAGACTTACCATTCCCTATCTCTATTGGTTTATTTTAGTCTCTATTGGTTTATTTTAGCTCTGTACAGGTACTAGCATAAATTGTGGCTAAGGCTAAGCAGGATTACCAAGAAGCCACTCTCAAATGACTGGATACTATAATGTTACAAAAATCAAAGGGCAATTTTAAAAGGTATATAAATAGGGCTCCCTCCCCCGTGGCCAAATTTTCTTGTTCATGAGACTGGTACATGTTATAATTTTTAGGCAATCTGAAAACATGAAAATCAATTCCTATTAAAAGAATTCATATTCCACATATGACTTTTGCCACCAACAATAACAATGAAGTATCCAGCAATCTATGAGGCTTTTGTATGGAAGTGGGTTGAGATTATAGCAATTACGTACATATGTTAAGATAGCTTTCATTAAATTGTTTTCTTTAAATGAAAATATTAACTGTTCATTTTTGTTAAATTTAATCTGATCACCATAAACTCCAAATAGATTATCATTTTCTGATCCAATCCTCATCTGTTTCTCAAACTGGGTTTCTAAAACTGTGCTGTAGTATCTTTAATTCTAGAATCAAACTAATCTATTTGCTGTTTCTTGGGCTTTTCTCCTAAATACCAAGCCAACAATGAACATTTGAAGCAGCATGACAAAAGACATGGTGCTGGTGTTCAAGAAAACAAAACAAAAGCCTCTCCAGCATGCATAGTGTCTCTTTTACTGACCATAACCACTGGCTATAACTGAGCTTAGGGTTGTCAGATATTTTTGTTAAGAGTACTGGACACACCAAAGCTCTGTTCCCTCACCCCAGGACATACAGAGCGAAGCACGCTGTTTGTCCTGTCAGGAGGGCTCCCAGCCCCAGCAGGAAGCAGCAGCCATGGCTGCAGGTTTGTGCTGGGCACTGCCTCCTCCCAGGACATGCAGCGCAAAGCACGCTATCTGGCCAGCAGGGGAGGTCCCAGCCCCAGTGCAAGGCAGCATCAGCTGTTTCCCACTAGGGCTGCCTTGGCACGGTCTCCTCCAAACCCAAACTCTATGTTTTGTTGTTTAGGCATGGTAAAGTTGACAGTCCAGTATTTTCACTGACTGTTAGGGAAAACACTGAAAAATACCAGACATTTAAAGGTCCTTTTTACCTCAGGTTTTTTTCCTGGTTACAGGACTGCCTGGGTCAATACTGGACTCCTGGAAACCCTAACTGAGTTGGAGAACGAGGTTAGAAAAGAGAAGACCCCAACTAACTCCAAAAAACATGGCTTTTCTCCACATCTACAGAGTTTTTAAGAACCGTTCTATATAAATACATTAATCACTGGTCTTTCTGGCCAGAGTTAAAGACTGCAAAGGCTTCATACTTTACCTCAGTTTCAGACAGTTGTGGCAGATTAGCTCTGGATGGCTGCTTGGTCCTCGATGCCTTTAGTGGCCTTTTGGTTGATACAATACCTTGACTTGGCATGACGGTACCAGTTGATAAAACTGAATAATGTCGCACTGGTAGCTCAATAAATTTTCTTATACACTTTGGATTGGGCTTATAAATTGAAGCTTTTAGAGCATGACATTTTTCCCGAGTTGGAGGACAGAGATCCGTAATCAAATAATTCATAGTCTTTGCTGCAGTAGTATAATCAGCCTGTGGTCTCTGCCAGGTTTTAGCTTGCCCACAAATATTGGTTAAATGAGAAGCCACCACTTCTGGAATGCACAGACTGAATAATCTTTTTGCAGCTAGTGAATTGCTTGACATCCCACAAAAACTGTTGTTTGATGCTAGGTGTCCACATTTATTGAACTGTTGGCCAATTTTATGAGGAGATGTAGCCAGGAATCTCAGCAGTTTAGCTGCCATCTTTTTAGTGCAACCTGCATAACAGTTGAAAAGGAAAACTTAAGTCTTTTATGAATACAAAAGACTGACTTGCAGTAACTGGCAATGCAAACATGTTAGTACACAGGACTCATAGCTCATTTGTAGAATCAGATTTTAATGAAGTAGCAAGAAAGAACATAAGGATAGATCTATGCTACCTACAGCAATAATCAAAATGGACAAATGTTAAGTTAAATTAGGATATCCTTTCACAAACATTCTGAAGCCTGCTTAACTTCTTACAGCGATATGTACCCTTTCTTAGAATATTAGAACTTGTACTGCACAAAGGCCGCTGAAGTGACCTACAATGATTCCCAGATGTTCAGTGCAGAAATTGCAAATCAGCTGTGGACTCAAACCATTTACCAGTTATCTACTCATCCACAAAGCCCAGAACCACATGCATCCAAGTTCCAACACACATTGATAATACTGCTGCTGGATAAAATCAAAACGTACTCCTTAGGAACTTCATTCTTTGTGTGTCCTGTGAAAATCTAAGTTCCAAGGAAGGAGAAGATCCTGCAGCAGGTGGAACCTTTCTCCTCTCACCAAGGAGTTATAGCCACTACTGCATTCAAAGAAAATATGAGGCAACCCTGCTTAAGATGGAAGAGCTGTGGGAGGGAAAGGTGGCAAAAAAAAGACATCCTAATGGGGGGAAAGGTGCTTTGGAACCTTCTGCAGGGGTGAGAAGCAGTTTTGATCTGGCACTACAGCCACACATTCTCTCTTCTTTAGATAGAGATTCTGCCATATAAATCACAACACTGTGTGAGAACCTCAATATCCTCACCTACAAAACAGATGGTGTTGATTTGAGTAAGGGCAAAAGACACAATACATTTAGAAGCTAAGCCTTAAAATCAAAACAAACATTGCCGTAACAATTTCCTGCAACATTCCATTTGGTTCTCACTCACATGATCATTTTCCAGAATGGCTGGATGTCTCAACACATGTCCAGTCCGTCCTTCACAGAGGCAGCAGTTCCCACAAGTGTTGCCATTCCTACATCAATCATTTATATGTTTTAAAAAATACATTTAGTCACAGGAACTCCAAATACATAAGTGCAGTTCTGTTAACAGAAGTGATGTAAGGAGAAACAAATTGTTTTGGGACAAATTCACTATTGCTACCATACTAATAAAGCAAAATACTCCACCACAATAATTAACCAACAAATAAAGAATAGACATAAAATATGGGCAAGTAAACCATATAAATAATGCAGACCTATAGAAAGGCCTGAGAAAGGACATTATCCTGTGCACATTTAAGTGGGAGCTAAATTTCTCTGAATTCAGTGGGATTTATTTCTGAGTAAATGGGGAGCCTATTCAGACAACAAAATGGGAATGCAGAAATGTTAGGATGCAATGCCTCAATGACCTAGTAATTTCCATCTTTCTGTGTTATACCTCTGAGGATGCCACTCACAGTTACTGGCGAAACGTCAGGTTCTACAATGCCATGACCACGGCCATACAGCCCGGAAAATCTACAGCAACTAATTTCTACAGGAATGCTGCAAACATTCAGGAAGTGCATTGCTTATCACTGCAAGTCAGTCAACAGGGGCACAAAGAGCAGCCTTCTTCATGCTTGCCTTCCAGTCATGGAATTCACTCCCAGTTTATACATGTTAAAGTCCAAACCTAAGAACCTTTCAGAAATCTTGTAAGACATGCCTGTTTGGATCTGTCTTTGGGACAAATCCATGGGATACCAGCCAGCCTAACTAACACATGTTATCTCATTGTTCCTCCAACAAACTCAGAGCAGCAGACGTGGCTCTTCCCCACAAATTTTATCTTCACTATAATCCTGTGAGGCAATAGTTCTGAAATATGAATCTGGTCGTATCTCAGAAAGGATATCTTAGAGTTCTAGAATAAATGCCGAGAATCCAGCCAAAATGATAAAGTACCTTCTCTATGAGGGAATGCTAAAAAGCATTTTATGTGTAGAAAAAGGTTGATGGGGGAAGGATGAAGATGGTTCAGTTTGTAAAACTGCATGGTGTGGAGGAACTGGACTGAGAGAAATTTGTCTCCATCTCCCACAGTAGTTGATCTCAGGGCTGTTTGAAGTTGGTATACAATAGATTCAGAGCAAACAAAAGGAGCTACAAAAATATCCTTAGCATAGAGGATGGAATAATGGCCACTGGCTTTGACATCTTTAAAAGGAAATTGGACAAATTCCAATTCTATCAACAGCTATCATTCCTGAGAGCTAGATGAAACCTTTTCAAAAGGCCTCTGGGAGGATTACCACATGGGGAGGCTGTGGCCTTCATTCTTAACTTCGGGGGCTTCCTCGAAGCATGCACCTGGTTCAACACTGAGAGGGCAGCAGCCTAGAGATGCCATCTTAAGTAAAGTTACTCCTTTCTAAAGCGGTTGACGTCCATGGGTTTAGGAAGGGCACAATTTAGGAATGCCCTGCAGAGGGACCACTATTTTTGATCCAACAGGGCTGTTCCTGAAGTTTCGCCCTGCAAAAGAAGCTTGGTCAGCTCTATTCAGAAGACAACAAAGTCAGTATTAACCTTAAGCTAGGGGGAAACTGTCTAGAAGACTTGGTGCGGAGGAGAGCCACTGTAAAGAGATACCTCCCTACTTCCCTCTTCTCAGGCAAGCACGCCTTTGTTAAGACGCTGTCACTTTCTCAGAGACTGGAAATCGAGTCAGAGCTGGCTCTCTTCAACTGCATCGCTAACACCATGGGATGAGCCGGAAGCGGACAGCTCAAGCGCTTAACGCAGGGGAACCGCCGCACTCCTCACCCCAACGACCGGGATTCAAAATACAACCCCACCTCTCCGCGCAGTCAGCGCAAACCCCGTTCTGCTTATTCCCCCCCCCCCCGGCACGCGTGGGGGCCTTTCACCGACCTGGCTCTGTTATGAGAGGAAGAGGCGGAGCGGGAACCACCACCGCCCACTCCCAAAGGCCACACAAGTCAGAAGCGAGACCATTTGACGGCGGCGCCCTCGACCTTCACCACGTGAAGCCACCAGCCCTCCCCCTCCAGCCCCGCCCCGAACCAGGTGACCTCACATTGATTCCGGTCGCGCGTAAGCTCCGTCCCCTGAACAAGCACCGCCTCTAGTTGTAGGAAGGAAAACCAGGCGGTCGACCAATGAGAGTGTGCCTGGTGCGGGACTTGCGTCACCTCTGCGGTACGAACGAGAGGAGGGCGCCATAGCGAGTAAAATGGCGGCGCAGACGGACGTGTTGCCGGTCCCGCTCTCGGGCAAGTTTAAGGGGTGCGTTCCGTGTCACCTCTCCCCCCCTCGTGGCTCCGTTGGATAGATGCGGGAGAAGGGTAACGCCCCAGCAGAAAAGGAGGCGGAGGAGGCTAGAAGTTGACATCGGTAGTTGTTAGCTCCTCCTCAAGTTCCTCTTTCGTGCCCTCCCTTTCCTCCGTCTGCTGGCAGGGAAAGACGATACTCTCCCGGGGGGGGGGGGGTGTCAGTTATATAGATAGATATGTAGATGGATAGTTTATGACTTTTTCTCGCTCTTAGTCTTGAGTGTATTACGAGCTCACAGCTGCCCCCCGCCCGCCATTGCTGGTAGGAAGGATGGGAGTAATTTATGGCGCTAACCAGTTTTAATCTAGTTTGTTTGCCTTTAGATTACGCCTTGGTCTACTCTTGCAGATGAAAGAGTTGTGCGGGAGTGGATTTGCAGGCTTCAGGAGAGGGGCACCCCTTGGATGCGCAGGTCTTCCCACGGAAAAAAGTCTTAGCCCAGCCAGCCTCTCTGCTTGATGTACTGCTTTTCTAGTTGCAGAGATCTGGGGTTCTGTTGTGTTTCTTTTTAATGTAACAACACTCAAAAATGGGATTGCCCACCAGTAACTGGGTGTGGTGCAGTTTATTCTGTCTCCTCAGAGTTCTTGTGTCTCATTCTGAGGCACGTGCAGGCTGTATTTCTAAACTTGTTTTCTCAGAGCTGGCAGTACAGTCCTAACACAGTTAGGCTCTCTTAAGCCCTCAGAATTAAGTGAGTTTAGAAGGGTGCTACTGCTTTAGTTTGTGCTGATTTATTGTTTACTTGGATTTGCTAATGACTCAACTTTTTAAAAGATTGAACTGCACATTGTAGAAGGAGAAAATAGAGCATGCCCAAAGTTGGAATTGGCAAAAAAAGTTCTTTTGAAAGAGAGATAATTGAATCACACCATTGTGTACTAGAGAATGAGTTTTTTAATATCTATATTCTGCTCCAGGCAGGTTTCATAAATGGTAGCATTGGCAAATGTAAACATCCTTACACATGCTTTCCAATACAATTTTGGAAGCGGAAGTTCTACACGTGGAAATCTCTTCCCCAATCTGAGAATACTGTGATGAACAAACCTCAACCTCTCCATCACCTTAGCCCTTTTCACATTTAAATTCCTTGCTGCTTTTGCAAATCTCCCTTTCTACACAACTCAGGTGCATGAAGGAAAAACATTTGGATCTTTTTCACATATTATGTGTGTTATTGCTCATAGGGAAGGGGAACCTGGGAAAGATCTGCAATGCTGTCTGTAAACTGCTGGATGCAGTCTTGTATCTGTATTTTTTCCTCTGGGAGATGAATAGCACCCCCATGGAGGCAGCTGAGATGTGGGAAAGGCGTAAAACCCTCCAGTCCTGATGACAATTGCATTCTCTTTTCATGATTTCGACACTCTTGTCATTCAGTGAGTTTCCAGTATCTTAATGCAGGTAGAATTACAAATTAGTTTTTTCTTGCCCTTGAGCCGTCTTCCCTGCTCCTAGGTGTGGTGTTGACACGTAGTGTCTCATGGCTCAGAAGAAATAAAGAAGGAAGTGCCTGCACTAAAGTGTTGACAGTATTTTGTAATTGAAGTGGAAAGTTTAGTTTGGCTGGAAAAGCCATACAGGACTCTAAGGAAGAGTTTTGTGTGCTGCTGGCAAAAAAAAAAGAGATGGACAGAGAGGCAGGGGGTTATTCTCAGGTTACCTGGCCTGAGCAATGGAACATTTCTTTGAGTGAGGGCCCAGGGTGTGGGAGGTGAATGTTTGGACAAACCCAGGAAAAGGAACACTGTAGGTGGTAGATTGATAAGCAGGAACCTTTTTTTTTTTGAGTGGAGGAGATAGAGGTCAAAAGAAAGAAAAAAAATGCTTTGGGGGAAACCCAGATAAGCTGTGAGTGCAGAAGCTGGAATGGAAAAGCTAGGGAGGTTTGAAGGACTCCTGGCTCAGAGCATAACAATGAGTCTTAAGGTTCCAATGATGAATTAACAAACCCAATATTTAATTACAGATCTTTTAAGTAATAATTGAAATTTAACCAAACCTAATTACAATATTTTGGTACAGGGACACATGGTAATATTTGTTTATGTTTCTGTATCTCTTTATTTAATAATTTCCACATTTAGACTCTGATATTAAAATATTGCAATCCCAATTGAGATGGTTAAGTGCTACTGTTTGGAAATTTTTTAGAGCATTAAACTTCTGTACCAAATTATAGATACATATTTCAGTACTGAGCTTATTCTACCAAGTTTCTTGTAAGCTCTACCAAGTACCAGTAGTATCCTTAAAGCTGAAAGGTCTTGTTCCTGTATCAGCCTAGTGACTTGCAAACTTAAGCCATACTCTGATAATGCTACTGGTATTACTTGTATACTAGTAGTATATTAATACTACTTACTTGGGATGTGGTGATGAAAAATATGAATGTATAAAGTAGAAGTTAAGGCTAGTCAAAGTGTATTTTTTTCTTAATCTGGAATATTTCTGGGGTTTTTTATCTCTCCCTTATTATAATTGAATAGCAACGTTCTATATCTCAACGTTCTAAATTTGGCCCCTTTAGTGTTAGGCCGGTGGGACTGCCACTTACCATATCTGCCGACCAATAAGAAGCCGAAGCCCAGTCCCGCCCACACCACCCCGCCCAGCGTTTCAAGGTCTTTTGCATATGGAAGCTTATTGGACTTCACTGCATTCCACACCTCAAACTCACCCCCCTCCCCGCAAGGCAGTTGGAATGTCAGTTGCATATGGAACCTTCAAGGTCTTTTGCATATGAAAGTTGATTGGACTTCACTCCATTCCACACCTCATACTCCCC